TGCGCTGTGCTATCGGAGATTGGCTTGGATGCAGAAAATCGCTCAACGTCCTCAGGATAACGTTGCTCTCCCGGCTGCTCTTACTGGGCGTTTCGGGGACGGGCGCAAACAGATCAATTCTAGGGGCAAACCCACCCATCATGCGAATCCGCGGTTTAAGCTTTGGGGCAACGATCTGTCGGAACTGAGTCGGGGGAAATCTCGCGCTCGGGATGTTCTGGCTGGACGGGGGTGGCTCAGCTTGTTCGAGTCGGACAATCGTATCTTTATCCCTCCTCGGGCTCTTCCGCGGCGACGCGGGTCGGTTCCTGAACCACAGCTCAGCCTCGCGAACGGCCCAGGGACGCACGTGCGTGATCTGTTGGAAGAGACGGGGTGCAGGTGCACGTATACGTGTCATACATTACGGCAGCTCATAGCGCATCAGACCCACCATCACAATTTACGAGTCCGGTGGCGGCAAGCTGCTGTATGCAATCAATGTTCGTGGTGCGACCTGTGTTTTTCGAGCATGGATACGGTCCGTCGGCATTTAGAGGCTCGAGGTCGGAGGGGCCCCCCGAGATGCCCAGAGAGAGGCGGTTCAGCGATTTCGGGCTTGACAGTTCTTCAAGCACTCTCTTCACTTGTGTGCCCTTTTTCGTGCACATCATCGGCATTCGCGAGCCCCCCATGCACTTCGCGAACATATACGTGAGAACTTCTCAGACGGCGCCTTCGCGAGCCTTCGGAACCTTCTCGAAGATGGACAAGCTGGTCGGGGCGGCCTCGGCGGGCTCGGAGGGGCGCGCGCAGAAGCAGAGGGCGGTCGGCTCGGCGGGCTTGGATCAGGACATCAAAGACCTGGCAGTCAACACGGCCAAGTGCGTAGTGGGCCTGGACGGGTCCAACAGGCGCGCGCAGGGTGCTCTCGGGCAGGTGGCGATCGTGATGGAACAGCACCCGTATCTGGAGCCGATCAAGATGGGGACGAAGCAGTACGACGAAGAGAAGAAGCAGGCGTCGAGCTCAGAGGAGATCGCGGCTTTGATTCCAGCTCACGTTCGCGCGTGGGCCCAGCTCGCGACGCACGTGAAGAACGACGCGTCGGCGCCCAAAGAGAAGAGGGCGACGCTGACCGCGTGCCACAGCAGCGCGGTAGACCTCGATGTGATTCGCGGCCACGTCCTGACGCGCTACCAGAAGAAGGCGTATCGGCAGAAGGCGTGGGGAGACACAGATCGCTTCAAGATCGAGCTCATGGTCATCCCAGAGCTGCGCGCGGACACGAACGAGATCATGGCGGCGATCGCGCTCAAGCTTGGGGTGGAGATCAAACGCGGGGCCCCGCCTCGCAACCCAAACGTCCGCAAAGTCGTGGCGGGCCTCGTGAAGATAGGCGAGTTCCAGGAGCTGACGCAGTGAATGGGCGTGGCTCTCCTGTCGGCACGCACTGCTCACCCGCGCCTTCGGGCGCGGGCAGAGAGCGCCGACCTCCAGGCGCCCCTGTCGGCGCGCACCGCCCACCCGCGTCTTCGGGCGCGGGCAGGGGGCACCGACCTTCAGGTGGCGAAAAAACTAGCCAGGAGCAGAGTGACAGTGTGCAGCGTCGACTCCGTGGAGGCTCGTACGTATCCGTGTCTTTGGGAATACCACACGCCGAGGGATGTTCTGAGGCCCGGCGTTCTAATCTGAGAGGCCTTTCGGCAACACCGCCAGCTTCGAATTCGAATGCGAGTAGTAGCAATGCGAGAGTGCTCCGAGGTATCTAACCACGTTTACTGGAGTTTTGCAGCAGTGGGCGACACTCGGGCGTCTGGGCGCGCCCTGCTGGACCGTGGGCGGCGGGGCCCTCTTGCCTCTATTGCCGCCCCTGCGCCAGTAATGGGGCCAGTGCTTCGTGACCCGTGGTATCTCGTCTCACATTGTCACTCAGGAGTGCGCAGAGGGCTCCCCCCGCCGAAATGGGCGGCCTTCGAATTTCAGAAGCCTCGCGACCGTGATTCCAGTTTGCCTGGCAGTGCAGCTTGTTGTCAGCAGAGGCGGGCAGGGAGTCTCATCGGGTAGGGGAGAGAGAGAGAGAGATCATCATCATCATCATCATCATCATCACCATCTTCATCGTCATCGTCATTATCACCACCACCTTCATCATCAGTGTCCTCCTCATTATCGTCCTCGTCCTCATCCCCATCCCCATCGGCATCACCATCGGTAGCGTCATCATCGTTATCACCGCCATCGTGGTTGTCGCCATCGTCACCGCCGCCATCACCATCCTCGCGTTCATCGCCCCAGGCGACCCAGCAACACGCACGTTTCGTGGCTTGCGAGCTCTCCAGGCTTCACTTCCAGGGCTCTCTGCCAGCCAGTGTGACGCCTTGCTATCTCCGTGGAGCGTGACTCGTAGAGCTTCACCTAAGAGTGAAGCGGCGGAGCTTCAGAGTAATGACTCGTAGAGCTTCCCTGAGAGCAACGCGGCGAAGCTTAAGAGTAATTCGAACGCGCTGGCGGGCTAGTTGACTCGAAAAGGTCCACATGCGGCCCACCGCCCATTTTGGCGCACCCCTGACATGCTTCGTGGCCCCATGGGGAGCTCCACCGAAAGCCCCAGTGGGAGGGTCTACGTGCGACCCAGAGCCAATGTCGGAGCACCCCTCGCGCGCGTCGTGGCCCCATGGGGGGGCTTCACCGAGGGCCCCAGCGAGAGGGCCCACATGCGCCCCCGCGCCCAATTTCGCACACCCCTGGCACGTTTCGTGACCCCATAGAGGGTGCTCAGCCGAAGGCCCCAGTGGGAGGGTCTACATGCGCCCCCCTGCTTAGAGAGCGTTTCTTTACGTTCGGCGATGACGGGCGTCATTGGGGGGGGGCGGAGGGGGGTATGACGTAACGCCCCCCCCCCCCGCCGTGTGGTTCCGGCACCACAGCCGCGCCCGCGCGCACGGCGCGACGACCGACAAGCGACGACGACCACGACGACGACGACGCGAGCAGCATGTAGGTGGCGATCTGCCCTCCTGCGCCTGTGTACACCACAACGTTCGCGTGCACCACAGCGCGCTTGTACACCACAACGCCTGCGTACATCGCAACAACCGTGTGCAACGCAGCGCCTGTATACACTTCAGTGCTTGCGTACACTACAGCGCCGGTGTACATCTGCACACCGGAAGCAACCATGTGCAACACAGCGCCTGTGTACACCACAATGCTTGCGAGCACCGCGGCGCCTGTGTACGCCACAGCGCCTGTCTACACCACAGCATCCGCGTGCAACGCAGCGTTACCACAGCGCCTGCGTGCATAGGACAGGTAGAAGAAGCTTGTACGTGTGGATATGATGCGGAAGCGCCACGCCAGGAAAGTGCTGATAATCGAATGCGACGTTTTTCTCTCGTCCCTTCTCCTCCATTGCCACCTCCTCCTCTTCCTCCTTGTTTCTCTTCATCCTCCTCCTCCTCCTCCTCCTCCTTTTCCTCCTCCTCCTCCTCCTCTTACCCCCTGTCGTTCAGGTTGGCGCTACAGCGCACGTGCGCGATTCAGCGTGCACCGCAGAATGGTCTACTGAATCAGCCCACGTGGTTCTCGGACGGCCAATTTAGCTGGAGCCTCCTGGACGCAGATGGGAGGAGTTACGGTGATGCGGGCGAACTCGTAGATTCCCTTGGCGCTCCCTTGTCCATAAGAATTATTTTTTGGTGTTTTCGGTGGAATCCACAAGCGCTCCATTTTGTCATAATGATTCTTTCTAATATTCTACATACAACAGTGGTGCTGTGTTGCACACGGTTGCTGTGGTGCACGCAAGCGCCGTGGTGTACAAAGGCACTGCAATGCACGCAAGCACTTGTGGTGTACACTGCTGTGTTGCACACGGCTGATGTGCTGTACGCAGGCGATGTGGTGTACACAAGAACTGTTGTGCCCGCGCGCGCGGTGGCACAAACTGACGCTGTGTTGCATGCGGCTGTTGTGGTGTACATACGCGGTGTGGTGTACACAGGCGCTGCGGTGCACGCAGGCACCGAGGTATACACAGGCTCTGTGGTGCAGATCGCCACCTACACGTTGGTGCCACCTGTCCTCCGTCATTCCTAGGCATTCCCAGCCGCCGCTGGCGCGAAGCGTGACGTCATCGACCCCCTCCACCCCTCCTCAGATGATTGCCGTCAACGGCCCGGAATTTAAAAACAGGCTCCAGCCGCGTCCGCGCGCACGACGACGATGAGCGACGAGCCACGAGCACGACGATGACGACGTCGACGACGACGATTGCGGACCAGACTCCCATGCGGATTTCTACGCGGACACCTCCGCGGATCCCAATACGCACGGCGCCACTGCCCTGAGCGCACTGGGGGGGGGGGGCGTTACGTCATAGAGGGGGGAGTGCGCGGGGGCCATGACGCCCGTCATGCCCCAAACAATAGAGAAATGTTTTTTTGAAACACACCCTAACGAATTCCGTGGCCCCATAGGGATCTCCACCGAAGGCCCCAGTAGCAGTACACATGCACCCCTTTTCCGCCCATTTCGGCACACCCATGACACGTTTCGTGGTCCCATAGAGAGTTCGACCGATGGCCTCAGCGGCAGTGCTCACATGAGTTCCCCCGCCCATGTCGGCACACCCCTCCGTGGTCACATATGGAGCTCAACCGAAAGCCCCGGCGGCAGTGCTCCCATGCGTAACCCCACCGGTTTCGGTACACCCTTCACACGCTCCGTGGCCCCATCGGGAGCCCCACCGAAGACGATGCTCACGATTGCGCTACACACAACGGCATTTGGTTATGTTTCTTGACGGCGTCTTCATTTTCTTCCTGACTTCCCCCTTTCCCTGTGGTGTGACCTCAACTTGATGCCATGGGGCGTTCGACGCCACGCCTTCCCATACATCGTTCACAGGAGACTGGATTGTCCCATGGTTATTCGTCCTGGATGGGCCAGTTGATGTTGCCGTTTGCTGGAAATGGTTTGGGCACGCCCTTGGGTCGCGCTATGCAAATAATGTCCAGGCTTTGGTTCACGCATGAACTCCTTCATAGACGACTTGTGGGTCGCGGTCTACAAGGGCCTGTCCGTGTCCATATGCGGTACCGACGAGTTCGTGGAAAACGTGTGGAGGAACGTCGACGGCGGCGCCGACGACGACGACGGGGACGCCGACGATGGAGACGCTGGCAACGCCAAAGATGGCGAGGAGCAAGGAGGAGGAGGAGGAGGAGGAGGAGGAGGAGGAGAACGAGGGGGAGGAGGAAGAGGAGCAGAAGGAGGAGGAGGAGGAGGACGAGGGGGAGACAGCGGAGGAAGCACTTCGACAATGCCCTGAACCTCGGCATCTGCCTGGCGCCGGTGTGCCGGGAGCTGTCCTCCCACGAGTGGAAGGAGCAGGGGGCGTGGGCGGTGGGCTTCTGGCTGACCCCCAAGCTCGCGACGGCGGGGGGGCGGCACCCGCTCCTGCCCTTCTCCCTATCCTCCGTCGGAGGGGGGAGAAGCGATACCAACACCACCAGGGGGCCCACCGCCAGCGAGGAGGGCCACGATGCCTCTCCGAGCTGGAGGCTGGATTTGTCTCGAGGGGGAGGGGGGGCCACACCACCAGGGATTTCCCCCTTGCCTCCTCGCATCTCCTCGCCCTGTTGGTGTCGGTGTCGCCTTTCCTTGTTCCTACTCCGCGCCAGGGGTGGGGGGGGGCGAGAGAACGCCGAGAGGGAATGGGTCTCATTTCGGCTCCTCCCAGCCGGTTCGATGCGATCTCGACGACGGCCTCCGATTCCGAGCTGGTTCGACTTCGGGTTTTCCGACGTGGTCTCCGATGGTCAGCGGTACCCTTGCTGGCCTGCCGATTTCCTCCGATGCGACTCCTCACGGCTTGGCTGCCGAGTTCCGCCGATCCGATCCATGCGATCGCCCATCCGGCTTATCGATTCGATTCTTTGGGCCCTCCCGGGGAGCGAGGGAGGCCCTCCTCCTCCCTCCTCCCTCCTACTCCCTCCTCCTCCGCCCTCCTCCTCCCTCCTCCTCCCTCTCCTCCTCCCTCCTCCTCCTCCTCCTCTCCTCCTCCTCCTCCTCCCTCCTCCTCCTCCTCCTCCTCCTCCTCTCCTCCTCCTCCTCCTCCTCCTCCTCCGCCTCCTCCTCCTCCGCCTCTCCTCCTCCTCCGCCCCTCCTCCCTCCTCCCTCCTCCTCCCCCTCCTCCTTCCTCCTCCCTCCTCTCCCTCCCCTCCTCCTCCCCCGTGGGCCGAGGCGGCGCAAGCGTGGCTCACGGCGCGCGGGCCAGCGGCGGGCCCCGCTTCCGCACGGGGCGGCGCACCCCGTCGCCAACGTTGGCGGCACCGGCCTCGCGTGCAGAGTGGCGATCCGCGGGCCGCGCGCCAGTTTGGAGGGGCCTGCTTTCCACCACCACCACCACAAGTTGGAGGGGAGGGGGTCCTCCTCCTCCTCCTCCTCCTCCTCCTCCTCCTCCTCCTCCCTCCTCCCTCCTCCTCCCTCCTCCCTCCTCCCTCCTCCCCCTCCTCCCTCCTCCTCCTCCCTCCTCCCTCCTGTTCCTCCTCCTCCTGTTCCTCCTCCTCCCCCTCCTCCTTCTCCTTCCCCTCTCCAACTTCTGGTGGTGGTGGAATGGACCGCGCGTGCAAGCACCAGGTGCTTGTGTTTTTTGGGGCAACCTCACCAGCCTCGAACTGATTCCTGTCCCTAAGATTGGCGCGCGAAAAAAGGAGCTGACAATCTTAGGGATGCGCCCTCAGAAACGAAGGGAATCCCTAAGATCGGCATCGTGATGAGGCGATGCCCAGCATAAGGATAGGGATATGTTCCAGGCTGGTAACAACCGCCTCCCAGCACTTGGGCGATAGGACACCGACAGAAGGGGGGGCGGAGTTTCTCCACAAGACGCCCGAGCCCGTCTCCTACTCAGCACTGGCGCGCCCGATGAGTTTTCGCCGGGTCTGCAGAGGCAGGCAAGCAGCAGGCATCATGGATAGCGCGTGCGTGGCGGGAGAGCCGCCCAGAGCGGCGTGCGTCGCAGCAGATTGCGCCGCCCAGATCCAGCGAAGGACCATGGAGCGTTGAAGGGCAGGCGAGTTCCAGACTCGGCACATGCCCTTGGCCATGTCGACTAAGGTTGGCCATGTTTGGCGAGTCCTTCCTCCTCCCTCCTTCCCCCTCGACTAAGGTTCTTTCTCGGCGCTCCGGCGCCACCGCCGGGCTCTCGTAGGGCCGTCCCCGCCGGGACGCCTGACCGGCGCCTCGCTTCGCCTCGCCTTGGCCATGTCGCACCCGCCGGAGTCACCTCGCGCCCAGGGCACGGGCACCCTGGCGGGCCGCCACGAGCTGCCGGCGCGCTCTAGCGCGGGCCCAGCATGCCGGCCTGTGGCGCGCGCGCGCCGTTTGTGCCGGCGGGGGGCCGGGAGAGAGGGAGGGCAGGCGAGCGGGAGGCCAGGGCGAGGGCGGGCGGACAGGAAGGGCAGGAGGAGCAGGAAAGGGCAGGAGGGCGGGAGGAGGGAGGGAGGAGGCCGGGGAGGAGGCCAAGGGAGCCTGGCAGGGAGGCTGGGAGGGGCAGAGGGGAGGGAGGGTGTGGCGAAGAGGCTCGCGGCCCCGCGCTGCAGAGGGAGGCGCCAAGGCACGACAATGAGGGGCCCTCGACGCGCAGCACGGGGGATTGGGCGGGGGGCGGTGAATATGGAGGTGGATGTGGGGTAGGAGGAGGAGGAGGAGGAGGAGGAGGAGGAGGAGGAGGAGGAGGAGGAGGAGGAAGGAGAGGAGGAGGAGGAGGAGGAGGAGGCTAGACGGAGGTGGGAGGGGGAGGAGGCTATATGGAGGTGCGCCTGGAGGTGGATAGGGAGCGGACGCCGATGGATGAGGTGGATCTGGATGAGGGCGAAGAGGAGGCGGCGGCGACGGAGCACGTTCTTCACACGTGGGCTGCAGAGCTGCTGTCGCTAGACTCGGTACTGGGAAGCGTCGGGAGGCTGCCGCAGACCGCTCCCGCTCCTGCCCCTCTTCCATATGTTCCTTCTCTTGGCCCTTCTGCTCTTACTGATTTCGTTGTCACTCGCTCCCATTGTATGTCCTATTGTATCTCTTCTCCTCATCACCGTTGAAATTCGTACTGGTTCTACCCGAGGGATTTTTATTGTCATGCCGTAGTGTTGTAGTATGCTTCCTGTTATTCACATTCTCCCCCTGCTCCCTCTCAGTGGTGGCAGAGCAGGCGAAGTGACAGGAAACAGTCAAGTTTGGTGTGCCAGAGGAGCCTGTTTGTAGTTTTTGGCGCCGGCGGGGGGCAAATTGTTTGGAGACGCGCGAAACCCAGACCCCCGACGTCATGATTTGTTCATGACGTCGACCCCCCGAGGTCTCGACCCATTCCCCGGGACCGGTTTTTCGTCCTGAGTCGTTGTTTGACGGTCCCGAGGGCCGGTAAGGGCCCCCAAAGGCCAAAAATAATGCAAAACCTCCCGTCGTGATTTTTTCACGACGCGAGGGGGTCTTGCCGCAGGGGCAGCGAGTGCAGCCTCGTCCCTGCCCGCTCCCCGCCGCCGCCGCTGCGCTCCGCTGCCGCTTGCTGGGCAGTGCCACTGGTCTTTGAGATTACACAGTTGTGTTTGGCTCCTCCTCCTCCTGCTCCTCCTGCTCCTCCTCCTCCTCCTCCTCCTCCTCCTCCTCCTTCTGCTCCTCCTGCTCCTCCTGCTCCTCCTCCTCCTCCTCCTCCTCCTCCTCCTCCTCCTCCTCCTGCTCCTCCTGCGAGTAGGTGGCAAGAGTTCGCGCGCCTCCCGCTCTGTGCGCGCGCATCTACTCATTTCCTTCACTTGCCGTACCTACTGCTTAACGGGCCAGTGTTGACAAGCCATGCCAACCGTGAGCGTTCCAGCCAGTGGGATCGGAGATCAGAGTAGCGCAACAAGACAAGACAGCGTACCTTTGGACATGCTAGAATATGTCTGGGCTCTGGCAAACAAGTTGAGCCAACTGCACATGTTTAAGACGAACGCGCGCGGCGCTAAGGCGAGAATCACATCCTGAAAAGGAGCAGTCCTCCACCCCTGAGGCTGTCCGCAGGCTTTTTGCCAACCCCGTCTCGAAGGCGAGGGCCTCATTGTCAAAACGCCCAGGCCTCCATCCGTGAAGCTGCTGCAACGTTTGCAGACGAATGAGCGGGGCGCTGGGGTGATGACCACATTTTGAAAACGACCAGCCCTCCATCCGTGAAGCTGCTGCAAGTTTCAAGCTTCGGGGTCAGAAGTTGCGAGGATGTGTCAGACGAAACGCCCGGTCCGCCCTACCGACACGGTTGGTGGTGCGACAGGGAGGAAATTCTTCATCAGGATAGGGGATGGAGGAGGAGGAGGAGGAGGAGGAGGAGGAGAAGGAAAAAGATACCCCCCAGAGGCCTCCAGGAGGCGCCCCGGGAAGACCCCAAGAGGCCCCCCGGAGGCCCCCCCAAAGAGAATTCCAAGATGGCAGAACGTCACGGCAGACCACCGCGGCTGACGAGCAGGACAAACCAGCCAACGCCCAGACGTCACGCGCTCTGGACGTGCACCCACCCCGCGAAGCGAAAATGATTCTGCGCCCGACGACGTGGACGGAGAGCCCTGGAGGAGGTCGGTCGATCGATCGGTCGGTCCAGGACCTCGGGCGACTCGGTCTGTCGAAATCTGCCGCGGGGGTGAGGGCAACACTGGCAGCGCCCAGGCCCAGAAGCGTGGGCTGCTCGACGGCCCACAATCTGCTCTCATCACATGCCTACTGAGAAGGAGGAGAAATGGAGGAGGAGGAGGAAGAATATGAGGAATAACGTGCTCGTGATGACGAGTGTTGTCGATGTCGCATTGCTTATTATCTTCGCGTCGCAGAAACGCTGGTGCTCAAAATAAGGGAGCACCCGGTTTCGTGCGCGCGGGCTGCTGGAACACCGAGAATTTGGGGTCAGATGGCCCAACAATGGGCGCTGAGATCAGCAGAAGCAAGGACAAATGATAATTATGAGGAGGAGGAGCAGGAGGAGTAAATGGAGGAGGCGGAGGAAGAGGACCAGCATGACCACAATGAGCAGGAGGAGGAGGAACAGGACCGGGAGTGTAATATGTTCGGCATGGCGCTTGCAGGAGCAGAGGAGTAGAGCAGTCCTCGAATGGAAGGAGCCACTTAGCGAGCCACGGTATTCACGAATGGCCTGAGTGGATTGGGGAAAGGGTCAGGTGGACCACCATTATATCTCTTCGCTGAAGAGGTGGGTTGCCGACGCATTCTCAATGTATGCTAGCGGCTTCCATGCTTGTACACGTGGTGTGCTGCTCTTTTGTCGGCGCATAGTTAAAGATGTTGATGATGTTGTCGATGTTGTCGTCAATAGTGTGATGGTACATGACGATTTCGTTCAGTTGGTTTGCATTCGTCACCTGTAGGCGTGGAGTCGAGGGGGGGATTACTTCTGTGTGATGGAGCTTGTGGTCGCTAGAGATGCTGCTACTGTGAGCACCAATGGCTTATCAGTTTCGTGTTGTACGCCGCAGTATTTGGAACCTTGGATAAGCGAGTACGCGACCGCTCTGGTATGACTCTTGCGACACAAGTTCATGGTTGTAAATCCAGTCATTGATCCACGCGCGTGGCAAACACGTTGACTTCATTACGGAATGTTGAGTGTGATTCGCCGCCAAAGGTATTTAGCTTCACTAGTGTTCACCATGAACCTGGCGCTGTCTGGGCTGGTCAACGAGACGCTACGACTTGCGTGGGCGTCACAGCAAATTACCATGCAGGAGATTCGGAGATTCTCGCTTCACTGCTCGAGGCTAAGGGGCAGCCCGTGCCCACGTCGGAAGTTGACCGTCGCAGAAACCAGAGTCTAGACCACGCCCTTAACAGGCCACAGCGCTTGCCAATTAGTTCCCTGCTCCTCATTCTTCCTCCTCTCCTTCTTGGTCCTCTCGTGTTGCTGCGAGGGTGGGGCAGAGCAGGAGGGGAGGAAGGAAGCGGGATGAGCGAGGAGGGGGGGAAGGTGACGGGGTCCCAGGGGGGGGACGAGGGCTGAGCGAGGAGGGGGGGAGGAGCCCGGAGGGTGACGGAGGGAGGGAGGGCGCGGCAGCGCACGAGGAGGGGCCGGGCTCCCATCCCCCCCGAGCGGTGCTCGCGTGCCCCCCGAGCGGTGCTCCGCGTGCCGCTGCCCTGTGCGCGCCGCACGGGGCACCCGGGCCCCTCAGTGGGGTCCCTCCGGGAGCGGCCGGGCCGCCCGCGGGCGCAGGTGCGCGCCCTCAGGGGGCCACATGTGAACCCTACCCCTACCCCCCACGATTTCTGAGGGGGAGGGGGAGGCGAAGTGAACCCCACGCTCCCCCTCAGAAATCGTGGGGGGTGGGGGTAGGGTTCACGTGTGGCCCCCCAGCCCTCGCGGCAGGGGTGGCTGGCACCAAGGTCGAGGAGGGAGCGGCTGCGCAAAAGTGCGGGGAACAAAAACCAGGCGTGCTGGAGAGGACCACAAGATGTCGTGAGGTCTTGCCGACGCCGATCTTGGTCCTCGTCCATGCTGGCCGTCGCCGAGTCGCGAGGATTGGCTGTGCACGGATTGGTGGTGACCAAGAGGGACGGTGACCAGGATGGGCACCTAGGTTCCTGCGTTCAGTCTTGGTCATGGTCCTGGCCTGAATCCCGGGTGGGTCCGCGTGGATCTCTTGAGTCGACGCCAGACCCCCCGGGCGGCGCCTCTGGCGCCGCTCCTGGCGCGCTCCGCGCGCCAGGCATTGTAGTTCCAGCGCCGTTCCAGGGAACCCGCGCAGACCTCCGAGTGTTTGTGTTCACGTCGGTCGCTGTTCCTCTGGTTGGTCGGCTTTTGGGGCAGGGGTGGCGAGCATCGGGCCGGGCGAAACGGGGGGGATAGGGGAAGGGGGGGCTACGAAGTCTGCTGCATGCAGCTGCCGGCCCCGCCGCGGGGCCCATTCCTCGATCCAGGGCCGCCTCCAGCGCCGGGAGGCGCCGGGAAAATCAGCTACGTGAGCCGATTCTCAACCCCCCCCCCTTCGCTATCCCCCCCCCAGCCCGAGAGCACAGGGGGTGTCCGCGGTTCGCTCGTTGCGGCTGCTCGACAGTCGGTTTGCGTCTTGCCGGCTCGGTGCGATCGCTCTGTCGCTTTTGCGGCCGCGCCGCGTGCGCCCCTGCGGCCTCGTCAGTTTGTGGCCGGCCTCGGCTCCGCTGTCGGCTCGGTCGCTTGTGGGGCTTGCTCTCGCCGTGGGCTCCTATGTTGCACTGCCTTTGGCATTGGCGCAGCGCTGCTGGCGTTCAGTCGGGCCTGCCCCTCCACAGGAGGAATATTCAAGAATGATCCAAAAATAGTCTGGGGACCATTTTTCCTTTTTTCGTATTTTTGGTTATGTTTTGAATATGCTTGGGGTATTTTTCATTTTTCCTCCAAAATCCCCCTGTAGGGGGACAGGCCCGACCTAATACTGGCGAGGAAGCTCCTCGCCTGCCGGCGGGCGCCAGTGGCGACGGCAAAGGCCTCAGAGGAGGCCGAGAGCAGGCTTTTCGAGAGCGTGGCCGGGAGGGCGCTGTGTGCGCGCGCGTCAGCGCGCGCCCGTGCGCACAGTTGTGCCGGCGAATTGTGAGCTTGCGCACGGAGCGCCCCCTCGCTAAGCACAGTGACAAGAGGCATCGCCGCCAGATCCATCGGAAAGCTCCAGCGGTACAATACTGGCACTGCAAGGACAATCATGAGGTCATGCTGTAGTGAACAACCGACTATTGGAGGTCACATTCCAAACGTGGAGGACCCAATGCTTTTTCACCGTGAGTTCCACCTCCATGCCTTGCCCTGCGTTCCCTTGTCATACATGCCCCCTCTCCCCCTTCCCCTCTCCAGCCCTTTCTGCCTCATCTCCCCCATTCTTCTTCCCCCTTCCCCCCCTGCTTCCCCCTCCCAAATCCCCTCCCCAATCCCCTTCCTCGCCTCCCCTTCCCGCATGCAAGAGGCTGCGAGGTGGAGTGCGCCCCGAGCAGTGGGCGCCCCCCGTTGGCAGCTCCTCGGCTCGGCCGTGACGTCCCCGAGGAACTGTGCAACGGCGGCCCGCGAGCAGACCTGGCAGTCTGATCAGTGATCCCCTCCCCGCATCCCTGGCCTTCTCCCTTCCCTTACCCGTCGGTCGTTGAAAGTAGATAATTCTAGATTTCCAGAACCCAATCTACTTCAGATGCCTCCCTACTTCAAGAATCGATATGGTTCGGCTGTTGTTTGTTATTCTGTGGGTGGGCCCGAACCCGATCTACTTTACCCGCCTTCCTATTTCATATTTCTACCTACTTCTTCAGACCGGCGTGTACTCCTCCTGCTCGCGGCAGGTGTTCTCCAGCCCCCGCCGCAGGCTCGAGGCGCCGACAAGCCGGCCAGTGGCCGGGCCAGCGCGCTCCTTCCCTGGCTGTTCAGAGCGTGGATTACCTGCCCCGCTTTCGCTTCCGGGCAAAACCAAGCCATGCCACGCGCCTCCTCGTCAAGCGGCCTCTGACCAGCGCAGGCCGCAGCTTGGCGTCGCGTGGTACCTCCTGGCAGCGAGGGTGGTCAAAAGCCCAAGGCATACCACGCGCCTCCTCGTCAAGCGGCCTGACCAGCGCAGGCCGCAGTTTGGCGTCGCGTGGTACCTCTTGGAAGCGAGGGTGGTCAAAAGCGAGGCCGTAGTTTGGCGTCGCGTGGTATCTCTTGGAAGCGAGGGTGGTCCAAAGCGAGGCGGGGGTGTCTTTGCGCCCTGTGGCTGGCCTCTCGCCAGTGGATGGCCGGCGGCCAGCGGCCAGAGATAGGAAGCATACGGCAATGGAGGATGACGATGAATAGATGACCCTCCTCCTCCTCCTCCTCCTCCTCCTCCTCGGGGGTCGTGTTCACGCGGCGGCGCCCAGGATGACGATTCGAAAAAACCGGCCGCGGGCTGGAAAACTATGTCTTTCATCGTTCTCCTCCAGTCAGAAAATGGTGCAGAGATAGCAGGAAACTATTTGTTGTATCGTTCTCTCCCATTCTTTTAATGAATCGTCATCCCGCATTACGCAGGGACGCGTCCTGTCGACGCGGCGGCGACCCACGCCCCACAGCGTCCCAGGTGGGACGCCGCCAGTGGCCCATGACTCCGCGCTGATCGAACGGCCTGCGCTATCGGGAAGCCGCGGTCGCTCCAGGCTGAGCGATGCGCGCGGTGTCGGAAACCAGTGCGCAGGTCTTCACGACACGAGCTTGCCGTGTGCGAGCGCACAGGCACCTCCCTCGCCCTATGACTCTCTTCCTTCTCCATTCCACCTCTTCCCTCCCACTCGTCCCCTTCAGTTCGCAGACTGGCGCTTCCGCCCTGCTTTTCTGTGACGGATCGTTCGGATAGGGCTTGCACCTCAACGTATCGGCGATGCGCCAGCACGTCTGTCTATGTTCTCTCTCTCTCTCTCTCTGTCTCTCTCATTGCATTTCCCTCTCTCTTCTACATACTGGCAAGCGGACAATCGCTAGAGGAGCCTTGGGACCGGTACCTTGGCGTTCACATCCGGCATGGGGACAAGTACCCTTCGTTGTTGGCAGGAGGAAGAGGAATGATCAGGTAGGCAGGGGTGCAGGAAGGCCACGATGTATGCTGAACCGATCCTTGCAAGGATAAATGGATTTATGCTCTGAGCTGGATCTGTCGATGGATGCGAGGAAGTCATGGACGCTCCAGGACGAAGATGCGGTCATAATGAAGGAGCGCTAGAGGTGCGTTGGACAGTTTACGCATCAGTGCAACATATTGGAAGAGCGTGCAGCAGTTGAATACGCGCGCCTTGGTGTATAGCTACCAACGTGTAGAGAGCGATCCGTTCAGTATGCCATTTACGAATGCATGATGATGTGTGTCCCGACCGCGCGCTTACTATTGCTTCAGTCTTGCATGATGGTGAGTTTCGGTGTGTATCCGTTTCTCTGCGGCAAAAACCGCGCCAGCGCAGCAGCGCGTCGTGAAGGAGGCCTGGGCAAAGACGCAGAGATTGGAGCTTATCCGAGGCCTCTTGCGGGCCTCTCCTGGGCCCTTTAGGTCCGTTTGGGAAGCTGCTGGTGGTTTGTATGGGGGACCTCTGAGAGTTCTCCTGGGGGTCTCTGGGGCCTCTCGGGGGCAACTTGGGGGCCTCGTTAGGGGCCCTTTGGGGGCATGATGTTGGGTGTCGCGGAGGCAGTCCTGTGGGAACAGGTTGTCACGGCAAGCTTGTGCTTCTTTTGTTGGGCCCTTCTTGGGGCTTTCTTGGAGGCCTCGCGAGCCGTTGTGGTGGCATATGGGGGGCCGTCTTGGGGCCACCTCGTGCCGTCTTGCCGGCCGATTGGGCCGTTTTGGAGCCCTCCTGGGCGGTCTGTGCGGCCCTCTTGGGACCCTGTTGGAAGTTTTTAGCGCCTTATTGGGAACAATGTGGGCCGTCCTGGGCTTTCGGAAGCCGGAGAGGGCCAGTATGTTAAAACTTGCCAGGCTATGAGGAAACGCATCGTGGTTTGCGCTCGAGGTCCTCTTTGGCGTCTTCTTGGGGCCCTCTTTGTTCACATTGGAGGCCTCGGGGGCCGTCTTGAGACCATCTTGGGCCGTCCTGTGGCCCTCTTACAGAGTCTGGAGACCTGTGGTTGTCTTGAGACCGCCTTGTGGGCCCTTTGAGCATCTTGGGTCGAGATCGGCTGTCCTGGGGCGTGTTTTGCTGTGCTGGCTGCCCCGTGGCGTTGGTTTGCTGTTTGGTGTAGTATGTGTGGTCGTGTGTAACTGAGTTAGGATGGTTGTGCTGTTTGGTATTGTATGCTTTGCTACCCTCCCTCGAGAGGGCCTCTCTGGGAAGCACGCTTCTCCAAACACTCGTGATTCGTTACGGGCAAATACCCCGAATCTTTTCCAGAGAGGGGGATTTGCTAGGGATGGTCACGGCCGTGAGATGAGGTCGGCCCGGGACAACACAAAACAAGGTTTACGACACAGCGGAGGAGCATTCTAACTTCCCCAACGTGCATAAGGCACGGTGGTGAACGTATACGCGTTATCTGGTTCGTCTTCAAATCGTGCCGTTTTCCTATCTATTTGCCGCACCGTTTGCAAGATTACGTGATGCGATTAGATTAGCGTCCCCATGCGTCAAGTCTCCCCAGTCAGAATTGTGCTATCTGGGGTTAGGCGCTTCAATTCAGCCCATCCGGAATGGTTGACAGCTTGGACGCCGCCACCTTGTCTTCCTTCCCCTTCTCTCCTGCACACCGCCTCTTGCACGAAGTCCCCCTTCTCCCTTCTTGAACACGTCCGAACGCGTGTCGATTGTTTGTGCTGGCGTTTCTGGCAGCCGTTTGCAGCTTTCCACGAGGTACACAGAGACATCGACATTTTCTATCGACGAGTATGCCGCGATGATCAGACCGTCCCTCCGCTGATGTTCTGCTTCTTGTGTGCTCGGAATTGCCACATTCTGTTGCAGGAAATTTAGCCCGCGAAATCTCCATGCGCATCAGGCCATTCAGGATATGTGCTTGTATCACGTTTGCATGCCACCTGCTTCAGAGTGTGAGTGTTCTTCCCAAGTGGATGATTTGCTCTTAGCTCGCGACTTCAGGTCGTCATGTTCGGTGGCAGTTCCGGTTTATCGGAGGTTGGGAGGTGAGATCGCAGTGGAACGGAGACCCCCAACCGGGAAGTCGTTTCGTTTCGTTCGTGTCATGCGTGCGGGCGAGGCGAAGCTGCGTGGGCGCGCGAGAGGAATGAACCCGCCGTTGTTAGGGCGAAGTCGAGACAAATAATTCTCCTCCGTCCGTCCGGCGGTGGCCCTAGCGGTGTCCCGCGGTGTCCCGTGGTGTCCCGTGGGGTCCGCCGTTACTAGGGCGAAGTCAAGACAAATGATTATCCTCCGTCCGGCGGTGGCCCTAGCGGTGTCCCGTGGTGTCCCGCAGTGTCCCGTGGTGTCCGCCGTTGCTAGGGCGAAGTCAAGACAAGTGATTCTCCTCCGTCCGGCGGTGGCCCTAGTGGTGTCCCGTGGTAGCCCGTCGTGTCCCGTGGTGTCCCGTTGAGTGAGATCGATAGTGAGATCGACAAGTGTCCCGTGGTGTCCCGTGGTGTCCCGTTGAGAGAGATCGATAGTGAGATCGATGTGGTGCCCCGAGGTGTCCCGTGGTGTCCCGTGGTGTCCCAAAAAGTGAGATCGATAGTGAGACCGATAGTGAGATCGGCAGGTGTCCCGTGGTGTCCCGTGGTGTCCCGTTGAGTGAGATCGATATTGAGGTCGATAGTGAGATCGATAGTGAGATCGATGTGGTGTCCCGAGGTGTCCCGTGGTGTCCTATGGTGTCCCGTTGAGTGAGATCTATAATGAGATCGATAGTGAGATCGAGAGGTGTCCCGCGGTGTCCCGTGGTGTCCCGTGGTGGCCCGTGGTGGCCCGTGGTGTCCCGTTGAGTGAGATCGATAGTGAGATCGATAGTGAGATCGATTGAGTCAGATGTTGGTTCCCCCCCCCTCTCCCCCCCCACAATCTCCTTATCACCCGAAGGGTGGTCGTATAGGTAGAATATGGGCGTTTGTGGCTCGACGGTCGTTTTCGCAGGCCACCAGGAAGTTTTATCAGGAACTGCAGCAACATGCCCGGGACGCAGTCGAGGATTCCTCACGATTTGTTGTGAGAAGCTGGATTTCTGTTCGCACCGGGACCAGGAGATGTCGCTCGGTTCCACAGCGGAGTCGTTGGGTTTCCATCCTCTAGGATTTCAACGGGATGTTATCACAATCCCATCGGACTGTTCACAGAAGTTCTGGATTGCGCCATAGTGTAGCCCATATTGTAGCGGGCCCATATTGTACCATCGCTGGCACTTGCTTGCGTGCCCGTGGGCGCATTGGGGGTACCTGCTGCAGCATCTTGTGGTCTTGTGGGGTCTCTTGGGGGGTCTGAGGTGCCTCTGGAGGTCCCTTGGGGGTCCCTTGCTGACCATCTGGCGGTCTCGGAAGCCATCTTCGGGCGAAGGGCTCGAAATCTCAGTTCGGGTTCTACCTCTTGGGAACCTCTTGAGCCCTCTTGGAGGCATCTTGGCCCTTTTGGAGAAGCACTTGGGCCGTCTCCGGGCCCTCTTAAAGGCCTCTTGGACCACCTTGGGGCGATCTTGGGGGCCTCTTTGACCGTCTTGGAGCCTCGGAGACCCGACAAGGCGAGCCCAATAGGATAAGCAAAGAGCTTGGCCTCTCGGAGGCCTCTTGGGGGGTCCCTGGGAGCGCTCTTGGGGCGATTTGGAGGCCTTGCACCTTGAAGAAGCCATCTTTTACGTCGTGGAGCACTCTTGGGCCGTGCCAGACCCTCCTTGGGCTCTCCTTTCGGCCCCGTGGGGCGCTCCTGGAGCTCCCCTGGGGCCTTGGAGGCCACGCCAGGGACGAAAGCCACTTATAACCCGACCTGCTCGGGGTACTTTTCGCACGGGGGCCCCCAGGGGCCACACCGCGCGCGCTAACTAGTGATATAGAAACGCCTGACACCTCTCATCAGAGATCTTAGACCGCCTATGGCACGATCGTGCAGCTTGGATATGGAAACGACGTGGTACAAGCGATGCGGTGCAATCCACCCTGTAGAACCTGAACTCGTCAACTCCAGCGCTCGCGCAAACATCCAACCCTTTCGCCCGCAACTTGTGTGGCAAAACTCCTGTATTGGATGACTGCTGCTTCTGCCGCTGGGAGGGGCAACAAGTCGTGCCCCCCCGCCCTCACTTGAACGAAGGATTGCAACAAAAAAAGGATTGCAAAAAAAACAGATGATTGCAAAAAAAAGAAAAAAAAAAAAAAAAAAAAAAAAAAAAAAAAAAAAAAAAAAAAAAAAAAAAAAAAAAAAAGCCGAGAAAAAACTCGGCCACGACTGCGGTTCCTCATTGGCATGTGCCATCGTGCCTCCACGACTGCGCTGGCGCTCGCCCGCCCGTGCGCGGAGCGGCCGATCGGTTGACCCAGCGCGTTCCGAAGGCCGCGCTGGCGCGCGCGCGCACTTCGGTGCGGGTCGTTGACTCGGGCGGGCGCGATATGATGATGACGTCGGCAACGGCGGTACTCCAGATTTCGTAATAAATGGAGGGGGGTCTCATTTCGGGGAGGTCTCTTCCAGGCTATCTTGGAGGGCCTGGGGGGTCTGGGGACGATGTTTTGGAGGGTTCTCCCACGGGGGAGGTCTGAAATGGCTTTTCTTGGAGGGTCCAGACCCCCTCCCTTTTATTACGAAATCTGGAGTAACGATTATGATACTAGCGATGATGTTGCTGATGATGACAATGACGACGGCAAGGCAACTGACGGCGCCGATGCTGCTGACAACCACGGTGACGATGATGATGATGATGATGAGGAGGATGAGGATGATGATGATGCTGATGATGATGATGATGATGATGATGATCTTCGTGTATCGGTGGTGAAGACGATCGTGATGATGATGGCGGGATTGGCGGCGGTTGACGATGACGACAACGGTGGTCATGCGATAGCGCCGGTGGGGGGGATTGGGGTGCACGCGCGCAGGATGTCAACCAATATGGCAAAGTGTTCCTTTAAAATCGCGTGGTGTTCAGATGTTCTCCACAAGCCCGATTTTCACATGCTTCGAACACCAAATACTTTGGAACGGTTTCGACGTCCGCGTGGCGGCGCGCGCGTGTCGCCCGCGCGGTACTTGTGACACTTTTTTTTTACTTGCACGAAGGAGCCCAGTGGCACGACGGACGACGGACGAGCGAAGGACGACGACGAAAACGACCAGAGAGCGCGCGAGGGGGGGAGGGGCGAGAGGGGAACAGGGCAGGAGGGCCAAGGGGGGGCGCCCGCGCGCGCAACGCAGTCCCTCACAGCCCTCGCGCGGCACCGCCGGCGCCCCCCGCGAAGCCCCGGCTTCGCGAGGCCCCGGCGCGGGCAGGTCTGGGCCGGCCCGGCCAGCCCAGCAACCGGGGGAGCTGCCTGCAGCAGCAGTGCTGTTCCTTTCTTCCTGTCTTGCCGGTTGCTCTGTCCTTGGCCGTTGTGTGCTCA